CTGTCCTGCATAACAGATCCTCAGTGATAATCAAACCCTTGCAGTGAGTGAGTGACAACCTTCATAAGACTTTAATTACCTTTGATGAGTTTCCAATTTATAGGCTTATCACAGCTCGTTACAACAGATTCCAAAGAAATATTTATTGATTTCTGATTCTATTTTTTTAAAAAAACATTTATTTTTTGAGATTATAACATAATTACATTATTTTTCCTTCTCTTTCCTCTCCCCAAATACTCCTATTAACCCCCCACTCTCATTAAAATTTATTCATCTTTTAATTGTTTTCAAATAAATGTCATATAAATGTGTTTATATGTATATATATATATTTAGGAATACATATATTCTTCAATACCAAAATATACTCTCCTCAGTTCATATAATATTACTTGCATGTATTTGCATGTACATGTTTCAGGGCTGACCATTTGGTAAGAATAACCAATTTGTGTGCTCTTCTCTCTCTACCACACAGCATTCTTCAATTACTTGTAGGGTTTTTTTCTTTGTATAGGTTTGAGGATTCCTCAACTTTTCCCTGCCCACATTGTCATGTCTATTGGTGTCACCATCCTTGTTCAGGTCATGTTTAGGCAACAACATTGGTGAGATTTCATGGTTAAAGCTTCTCTGACATTTCTAGTAGATACAATTTCTCAGAAAACTTCTGGTGCCTCTGGCTTTTATTGTCTTTCTGCCTCCCTCTTCTGCCGTGATCCCTGAGTCTTTGGTGCCAGGTATGTTGCATAAGTATTGACTTGGACTGTGCTTCACAGCTTTTCATTTTGATAAGTTGTGGGTTGTTTCTTTTTTTGGCAGTGTGTGCTGTTACGCAGAGAAGTCTTCTGTGTGAGTGGTTAAAACTACATTTATCTGTAGGTGGAATTTTCTGTCCCATTAGCAGTTCTTGAATCATAACATGGAGATTTATTATTAATTATGAAAGCTCAGCCCATAACTTATGCTTTTCTCAGTAGCTCTTGTAACTTAAATTAGCCCATTTCTATTCATCTATATGATGTCACATGACTTGTGGCGTTTACCAGTCATCCTGTCTTGCTATCTGTCTGTATGACTGGAGACTCCATCTTTGTTCTTCCAAGTGTTACTTCTGCCCTGAAATTCCTGCCATGCTAATGACCATTTGACATTTTATTAGACCAATCAAAGTGACACATATTCACCGTGTACAAAAAGATTGTCCACATCATTAACTCCTTTTGTTTAATTAAAAAGGAAATGTTTTTAACTCTTACATAGTAAAACTATGTCCAATAAGAACAATTATCAGATATTGTCTAGACTGAAAGGAAAGGTGTTGACTTTAACAAATGAAAATATATACAATAAGAACAATCATAGAGAAATAATCAATTCACAATGTCTAATTCATCTGTAATTTGCTTATTTGAAGAAATTATTCCATTATCAATCTTTCTTGATAAATTTGAAGTTTTGTACCTAATTTACTTTTTAGCATGACTAAGAAAAACTATGGCTATCAACTTCATTAGAGATCCCAGAAGGATATACTTGAATCAACAGGATGTGCAGTTCAAGCTACTTCGAAACTTACAGAAATAACAGAGACATCTGGCTGCCTGGACAGTCATCCAATGTTCCTCTGCAACGTTGGGGTACCCAATCTTTGGCCTATAAGCCTAGAATACCTGCTGACATTTCTGTTAACCAGGAATTTTGAAAGATTGTTTTTCCTTTTCTTGGCAAAGTTTAACAGTTTGTACAGGATACTGTGAACACTCAAGACAAGAGCAGTTCCTTCTCCAAATGGCTAATATTGCCCTATTGAAAGCAAATTCTATATGGAGTTTCTCAATATCCATCTTCTTCTCTGAAGTAAATTGGTACTGCCAAGAACAGACATGTCTCATTGTCATAAAAATCCCCATGTTAACAAAATGTTTTAAATGCCATATTCTGTAGATCTCTAAAGTATTGGGAAAACATTAATCTATCTAAAATATATCTGTTTAATCTTGAAAACATATGTAATGTCACTATAAGTTTTATTGTTATAGATGACTAAATACTAATCTACATTTCTTTTTTATTGATTTTTATTGAGTTCTACATTATTCTCTCTGCTCCACTCCCAACTTCTCCCCTACCTACTTCTACCTTCCACCAAGATCCCCATGTTCCCAATTTACTCAGGATATCTTTCTTGTTTTTTTCTACTTCCCATGTAGATTAGATTTATGTATGTCTCTCTTAGTGTCCTCATTGGTGTCTAAGTTCTCTGGGATTGTGCTTTGTAGGCTGGTTTACTTTGCTTTATGTTTGAAAACCACCTATGAGTGAGTACATGTGATAATTGTCTTTTTGTGTCTGGGTTACCTCACTCAAAATAATGTGTTCTAGCTCCATCCATTTTCCTGCAAAATTCAAGTTGTCATTATTTTTCTTCTGTGTAGTACTCCATTGTGTAAATGGATCACATTTTCCTCATCCATTCTTTGTTCAAGGGGCATTTAGGTTGTTTCCAGGTTTAGGCTATGAGACACAATGCTGCTATGAACATAGTTGAGCACATGTTCTTGTAGCACAATTGAGCATCCTTTGAATATATACCCAAAAGTGGTCTTATTGGGTCTTGAGGAAGGTTGTTTTCTAATTTTCTGAGAAATCACCACACTGACATCCAAAGGGGCTGTACCAGCTTGCACTCCTACCAGCAATACAGAAGCTTTTCCTTTTCCCCGCAACCTCTCCAGCATCAACAGTGTTTGTGATCTTGGCCATTCTTATAGGTGTAAGATGGAATCTCAAGATGGATTTGCATTTCTCTGATGACTAAGGGTGGTGAACATTTCCTTAAGTATCTCTCACCATTTTATTTTATTTTTTTAATACAAAATATACAGCTTTAATAAACAGAAGAAAGGAAACTTACAAAAACCAGGGTTCCAGCGATCCAGGAAGGCAGAGGGCAAAAAAAGAGAAAGAGGCAAGCACACCTGGATCTTTTATTTGTTTTGTGTGGCCCCAGGGGGACACACCCTAAGCAGAATGTGATTGGCTGAAGTTCCCCATTACACATTCGTCCCTTGAATGGAGTATAACATGCAGGAATAGCTTTGAAACCAAAGGGATCGGGTTTGAAATCCACTTGTACAATGAGATAGCCAGCCTGCTTTTCCCAAGCAGCAACTTCATACAAAAGCGTAATTATACCACCCGACCTGCATGAGCTACGAAACTCCTGCACAGTGTCCCAGGAGGCGGACTTTGCTGTTGTGCTGTTTTCTCCTGAGACAGAGTCTCGCTATGTAGCACAAGCTGTCTTGACTTTACTATACAGACAAGACTGACACCGCACTTATGATCTCCTGTCTCAGCCTTCTGAGTGCTGGAGTTACAGGCAAGTGCCTAACATTTTCCAGTACTCTCACAGAAGTATACACAAGGCTTTGGGACTTCATCCCTGCAACTCTGCTCCTTTAACTCAGTCTTGGGATGGATTTCTTCCCCTCACCTTGTCTTCCTTGTCTCCAGCAGCTGAGGCTAGAAGGATGCTCACGGCCCTCTGAGGCTGGTCAGTGAGAAGGGAAGATTTTCAGGACTTTAGTACTCTGGGAACCATCCCTCCTCCACTCTCCAGAGTGCAGACACAGGTACATAACAACTATGCCTACAGCCAGCCTCACACAAATCTTCTTTCAGAAAATAACACATTATTTTACAATAGTTCAGGAAAGTCCTTGGGAGGTTGTGATTAAAATGAAATCACCATAGAACATAGAGCTGATCGGTGAGCCCATCAGTCCTCTCTCTTCAGGTGATGAGCACAGAAGGGAAGACATGATGTCGGCAATGAGAAAGTCGGCGGCTAGCAAGGGGGGCACAGGCACAGTGGTGTCACTTGTGACCACTGCACTCAGGTCTGGATCAGGTGCTTTGTCTTCTCTTCCCGTTGCCTCAGTCCTGTTCACAGAGCCGGGTGACAATGGCATTGAAGACAGAATAACTTACAACCACGAGCCATAGCTCAGGGGTTCTTGAGGTTAGAAGTTGTGATGATCCGGCTCCCAAGTGGCTTCAGGAAATCCCCCCTCCCCGCCCCAATGGAGGGACATCCAGAAAACAGGATACACCAGGCCTTGCCTTCTAACCTGTCCTCACAGCCACCTCTGTTGTTATGGGAACTTTCCAAGGAGATACGGAAGGGTTGGAAGACTGTTCTAAAAACTACAATTCTGACATTAGAAATGAAGGAATTACAAGTTCTGAGAGCTGTGCTTGAAGGAGAACTTTATAGATGACCTGTGAAACACAGGATGAGGAGGACATGAATTGTCAGGAAGTATATGGTTGCCAGTAGTGGCACTCGGGACCCGGAATGGCAGAGTGAACGCAGAACCTGCTTCCATCCAGCACCACTCCGGGTCCTTTGGCAGCTGCTGCCCGGGATGTCCATCCACACTGATGTCTCCTGAGTGCCACAGTCACCAAGAGGAGTCCAGGCCAGATCCCGTTCACTCTGCCCCAGCCGTCTGATCTGCTCCTCGGCCAAGGAGAGTGCGTTCTGAATGGCCAATCTTTGCTCTTGCTCTTCTTTCAGTAACTTCCTTAACGCACTCACGTCTTGGTTAATGGTGCAGAGCTGCTGCTGGACTTCAGACAATCTTGGCCGTGGCTCCCCTGTGGCCTCCGGATTCCTCTCTCTCTTTGGATTCATTCCTGGGGCGCTCCTGGAATAGCTACATTTGGTGGCTCTGCCTGCAGCTCCTGCACCTGCTTCTCCAGGACAGCACAGTGCTTGAAGAGGTCACTGGAGTATTGCTGGCTCTCACGGAGACTCTGGCTGGCATTGCTGAGCTGGATGGAGAGGGTCTTCTTCTCCTCCAGCAGCTGAGAGAACTGTCTCTGGTTCTGTGTGGAGAGACTCTGGGTTTGGGAGGAAGACCTCAGGAGACTCTGCAGATGCCTGAGCTGCTGATCTTTGTCTGCGATGGCCATAATGTACTGCTCCTTCATCTGCTTCTCACGAAGTTCCCAGGTGTTCTTTTCCATTCTGAGCTGATGTAGCTCATGCTGCCAGGCCAGGCTTTCCCGCTAAGTTCCTCCATCACCTGCATGGGTTTTGTCTGCTCTTGATACTCCTGGAGCTGAGCCTTCAGTGGCCGTAGCTCAGTGACCTCCTGATTCCTCAGTAAGTACTGCTGCTGCAGGGTCTTCCGTTCATTCAGCAAACTTAGTCTGATCTCTTCTTTGGTTTGAATGGCATCACCAAACTTTCGCTCCCATTTCTTGGCTTCCTCAATCACCTTGTCACGGTCATCCTGGAGGGATGACATGCTCTTAGAAAAGGCTGCGAGCTGAGCCACAGTGCTGGCCAGGCTCTCCTGTAGCTGTTTCATTGCTTTGTCTTTCTGGGACAGGGTGACCTGGATCTCTGCAAGCGTGTCTTCCATGCGGACCTTTTCTCCGTGCAAAGCATCCAGTTTCTCTTGCATGTTCTTCTTCTCGTCCAGGTGTTTTTCTTCCACTTTCTCCAGTCTTCGCACCAGATCTTCATCTTTCTGTTTCATCTGGCTTCTGATAGCTTCTTTGTTTGACTGAAGTTCCTTTTTCAGTCAGAGGTTGTCGGCTTGCACCCTCGCGGCTTCGCTTTGCGTGTCATCTAGCAGCACTTTGAAGCTAGCTAGTTCCTCTTGTGCCTTTTCGCGATGATCAACTGCTCGCACCAGATTTCCTTTGGTCATGTCCAGATCCTTTTGGGATTCAGTCTGAACAAGCTCGAAGGCCTTAACTGTCTTCTCCAGAGTGCTGATCCTCTCCTGGTACCTAATGCAGTCCCTCTGCAGCTGCTTTACCTCGAGCTGTTTTTCTTTCAGCAGCTCCTGGAGCTCCTTAGCATGGCTTTTATTGCCAGGTCCTTTGTGGGCACCTTGTATCTTCTCTAAATACTCCTTCTGTATTTCTGACTCCACATTGGTTTTCTCCTTAACCAACTACTGCTTTTCTTCTTCTAAGTCACTCATGCACTTTTTAAGGTTCTGCACCTCAGATTCTAGTTGCTCGTTTTTAATTTGGGCATCTGTAACATCCTTATAATAATGCCCAATGCTTCCATTAAGTTCTGCCAGTTGATTCATTAACCTTCTCTCTAAGTCCTCTTTTTCTTCTTCTGCCATCACTTTCAGCTTGGTAACTCGGGAAAGTTCTTGAATCTGCTGGTTTAACATATTTATTTTCGTGACTTCTTCCTCAAGTAGTTTCAGTTCGCTATCCTTGGCTGATATTTGACTCAGGAGGGCATTTTTATCATTTTGTAGAGTCTGGCTAAGCTTCCTGTCACTCTGTTTCTCCATCTCTAACTCAGTGATTCTTCCCTTGAGTTGCTCAAGCTGCTGGAGGTGGTCACTGATGTCATCAAACTCCTTGGAAAGGGTTCTTTTAATTTTTCCTTATTTATTTATTTAAAGAATTTCCACTCCCTCCCCTCCTCCCAATACCCTCCCGCTCTCCCCCACTCCCTGTACTTCTCCCTCATCAATCCCAAGAGCAGTCAGGGTTTCCTGCCCTGTGGGATTCCTCCCCCCCTCCCTCCAGGTCCAGGAAGGTGAGCATCCAAAAAGACCAGGATCCCAAAAAGCCAGCACATGCAGACGAAACAAGACCCAGTGCCATTGTCAATGGCTTCTCAGTCAGCCCCCATGTCAAATAGGTCTTTCACTTCCTTGGTCAGAGTTATCCCAAGATATTTTATGCTATTTGTGGCTTTCATGAAAGGTGATGTTTCTCTGATTTCCCTCTCTGCTTCTTTATCCTTTGTGTATAGGAGGGCAACCGATTTTTTGGAGTTGATCTTGTATCTTGCCACATTACCAATTCGAATCCCCTTGATACCCTTATGTTGTCTTAATGCTATTGCTAGAACTTCAAGCACTATATTGAAGAGGTATGGAGAGAGTGGACAGCCTTGTCGTGTTCCTGATTTTAGTGGAAAGGCTTTGAGTTTCTCTCCATTCAATTTGATGTTAGCTGTCGGCTTGCTGTATATTGCTTTTATTATATTTAGGTATGATCCTTGTATCCCCAGTCTCTCCAACACCTTTATCATAAATGGGTGTTGAATTTTGTCAAATGCTTTTTCAGCATCCAATGAAATGATCATATGGTTTTTTTCTTTCAGTTTATTTATATGATGGATTACATTGATAGATTTGCGTATGTTGAACCATCCCTGCATCTCTGGGATGAAGCCCACTTGATCATAATGGATAAATTTTCTAATGTGTTCTTGGATTCGGTTTGCCAGTATTTTATTGAGAATTTTCACGTCGATGTTCATGAGTGAGATTGGCCTGTAATTCTCTTTCTTGGTCGTGTCTTTGTGTGGTTTTGTTATCAGGGTAACTGTAGCTTCATAAAAGGAGTTTGGCAATGACTCTTCTGTTTCTATATTGTGGAATACATTAAGGAGTATAGGTATTAGCTCTTCCTGGAAGTTCAGGTAGAATTCTGCATTGAAATCATCTGGTCCTGGGCTTTTTTTGGTAGGGAGATTTTTGATAACAGCTTCTAATTCTTCGCGACTAGCAGGTCTATTTAGATTGTTCACCTGTTCTTGGTTCAACTTGGCATATGGTACTTATCTAAAAAAATGTCCGTTTTTTTACATTTTCCAATTTTGTAGCATACAGGCTTTTGTAGTAAGGTCTAATGATTCCCTGAATTTCCTGTGTGTCTGTGGTTGTGTCCCCCTTTTCATTTCTGATCTTATTAATTTGCATATTCTCTCTCTGCCGTTTGATTAGTTTGGATAGGGGTTTGTCAATCTTGTTGATTTTCTCCAAGAACCAGCTTTTAGTTTCATTGATTCTTTGGATTGTTTTCTGTGTTTCTATTTTGTTGATTTCAGCCCTCAGTTTGATTGTTTCCAGTATTCTACTCCTCCTGGGTGAATCAGCTTCTTTTTTTGTTTTCTAAAGCTTTCAAGTGTGCTGTTAGGTCTCCAATGTGTGCTGTCTCTGTTTTCTTTAATTGGGCACTTAGTGCTATGAACTTTCCTCTTAGCACTGCTTTCATAGTGTCCCATAGGTTTGAGTATGTTGTGTCTTTATTTTCATTAAATTCAAGGAAGTCTTTAATTTCTTTCTTTATTTCATTCTTGACCCAGGGGTGATTTAGTAGTTGACTGTTCAACTTCCATGTGTTTGTTGGCTTCCTGGGGGTAGCATTGTTGTTGAATTCTAACTTTAATCCATGGTGATCTGACAAGACACAGGTGGTTACTAATTTTTTTTGTATCTGTGGAAGTTTGCTTTGATACCAATTATGTGGTCAATTTTTGAGAAGGTTCCATGGGCTGCAGAGAAGAAAGTATATTCTTTCCTATTTGGGTGGAATGTTCTATAGATGTCTGTTAAGTCCTTTTGATTCAATACCTCCAATAAATCTCTTATTTCTCTGTTAGGTTTCTGTCTGATTGACCTGTCCATTGGTGAGAGAGGTGTGTTGAAGTCTCCTACTATTAGTGTCTGTGGTTTGATGACTGCCTTGAGTTCTAGAAGTGTTTCTTTTACATATGAGGGTGGCTTTATATTAGGGGCATAGATATTCAGGATTGAGACTTCTTCCTGATGAATTGTTCCTGTTATGAATATGAAATGTCCATCTCCATCTCTTCTGATTGATTCTAGTTTGAAGTCGATTTTGTTAGATATTAGAATGGCCACACCTGCTTGTTTCTTAGGTCCATTTGCTTGGAAAACCTTTTCCCACCCCTTTACTCTGAGTATGTGTCTGTCTTTGTGGTTGAGGTATGTTTCTTTTAAACAGCAGAAAGTTGGATCCTTTTTTCGTATCCAGTCTCTAAGTCTGTGCCTTTTTATAGGTGAATTGAGTCCATTGATATTAAGTGATATCAATGACCAGTGGTTGTTGACTCCGGTCATTTTTTTTTTTTGGGTAGTAGAGCATATGTGTTTTCCTTCTTTGACTTGTGCTTGTGAAGGGTCGCTAGATGTCTGAGTTATTGTAGGCACTGTTGGGAATGTTGGATTCCTTGGGTTGTGATTTTCCTTCTAATATTCTCTGTAAGGCTGGATTTGTAGCTACGTATTGTTTAAATTTGTTTTTATCCTGGAATATTTTGTTTTCTTTGTTGATAGTGAACAATAGCTTGGCTGGGTATAGTTGTCATGGTCTCTTAGTTTCAGCAGTACCTCTATCCAGGACCTTCTGGCTTTCATGGTTTCCATAGAGAAGTCTGGTGTAAGTCTGATAGGTTTACCTTTATAAGTTACTTGACCTTTTTCCTTTGCAGCTCTTAATATCCTTTCTTTAATCTGAATGCTTTGTGTTTTGATTATTATATGGCGAGGGGATGTTTTTTTGTGATCCAGTCTATTTGGTGTTCTGTATGCTTCTTGAACCTTCATAGGAATATCGTTCTTTAGGTTGGGGAAGTTTTCTTCTATAATTTTGTTGAATATATTTTCTGGACCTTTGATCTGCAATTCTTCTCCTTCTTCTACCCCTATTATTCTTAGATTTGGGGTTTTTTTTTATTATGTCCCAGATTTCCTGAATGTTTTGTGATGAGAATTTGTTGGATTTGCTGTTTTCTTTGGTCAGAGCATTTATTTTCTCTATGGTGTCTTCATAATCTGAGATTCATTCTTCTATCTCTTGTATTCTATTGGTTATGCTTGTTTCTGAAGTCTCTGTTTGTTTACGTAGATTTTCCATATCCAACCAGCCCTCGGATTGTGTTTTCTTCATTGTCTCCATTTCAGTTTTCAATTCTTGAACTGATTCCATTACCTGTTTGATTGTTTTTTCTTGGTTTCCCAGGGTATCATTTACGAATTTACTTATTTCTTCAAACTTTTTGTTATATTTGTCTTCCATTTCTTTACTCATTTCTTCCATCTTTTTGTTATATTTCTCTTCTATTTCTTTAAGTGAGTTATTCATACCCTGTTTAAGAGACTCTATTGCTTTCATAATGACACTGTTTTCCACTTCTTCCGGAACAGGGTATTCCAGTCCTTCAGTCATAAGATCGCTGGGATCTGGTGTTTTCATGTTGTTTTTCAGATTGTTGGAGGAATTCTTGCCTTGGCGCCTGCCCATCTCTTCCTTCAGATGCTCTCCAATGGCTCTTCCCTCAGCTGGGTCTTCTGCTACAGGATCAGTGCCCCTTTCTGGTCAGGAATCTCCTTGCCTGCAGTCCTACCTTGCTGCAGTAAGGCTATTAAAACAAAGGAACTCCCTCCTGCCTGGTTGTACTCACCACCCTTTCCTGGTGATGCCACACAGGCTGGGTTGGAGGATTTTATGCCCCTAAAAAGGGAGAGAGGAAGGGTAGGGTTTCCTGGCTGAAAGCGGGGATGGTGTAGGAGGAGAGAGGGTTTAGCTGGGGGAATCTGCCCCTTCGGAATACCCAGGGAGATAAGGATGGCGGGAAAATTGTGTGTTCCCTTACCGGGCTTGTGTGGCAGGTCAGGAGCGCACTTTCACCTCCATTGTATCTTCTGCTACAGGATCAGTGTCATTTCCTGGTCAGAAATCTCCCTGTCTGCAGTCTTACCTTGCTGCAGGCAGGATATTAAAACAAAGGAACTCCCTCCTGCCCATTTGCACTCACCGCCCTGTCCCATCTCTCACCATTTTAGATTCCTCTGTTGAGAGTTCTCTGTTTAGGTCTGTACTCCTTTTTTTTTTAATTGGATTATTTGTTTTTTGGATGCCCAATTTTTTGAGGTCTTTGTATATTTTGGAAATCAAACCTCTTTCTGATGTTGGGTTAGTGAAGATCTTTTCCCATTTTGTAGGCTGTCATTTTGTCTTGTTGACCCTGTCCTTTGCTTTATAGAAGCTTTTCAGTTTCAGGAAGTCCTGTAGCTACCAAGGTTTCTTCCCTTCTCCTGGCGATTCGCAGGGCCGTGTGACCTCTGGCTCCCTGGAGATTCTGCACTAGCTCTGGCTTGAGGGGATAACTTAGCAAGAACCTGGTTCTCTTTGTTATTGTGATTCCACTTGTATTCAAGGTTTTAGCAGTAGGCCCATAGCCTGCCTCCCCCAGCTGATCCTGCCTGAGGCGCCGGGAGGCTTTAATCTTCTCCTCCTGCTCCTGGATGGGAGGAGGCCTTGCCCTTTTTGATCCCCCTGCCCACTTCTATAAATACCCGACTTGAGCTTAATAAAGTGGCCATTTACTCTGGTAAATGAGCAAAGGTCTCTTTTTGTGTGTGTCTCTTTTAACCCTCAGGACAATCGTCCATTCTCGTGGGCCCGAGTTCGGGAAAGAGTGCGCCTGGGTCGGGTGTGGATGTCCACTGAAAAGTGCGGGTCTTACAGA